GAGGGCAGAGAATCACCTCCCTCCCCCACATCCATCCCCCACTTTTCTCTGTGTCTGTCTGTCTCTCTCGCTCGCTCTTTTTTTTTTTTTTTTTTGAGACAGTAATAGGAGAAAATTGGTTTTGAAACTGAATAAAAGTCCCTTTCAGAGGAAATCATTTCTTTCAGGGTACCTTTGCTGAAAGTAAAATAGAGCATAATGAAAGGTGGTTACGTGATTGTCTTTCATTTACCAAGAGGCCAGGACAGACAGGAGGCTGCCACCGTCTCAGGGAAATACAAGATTGGAATAATTGCGCCGTAACAAGGAGCTTGTTGTGAAATTAGTATCTTAAGAAAGTAGTGAAAAAAGGCTTTTCCTCATGAATACTTCATTATTAGAAGAAAGCGGCAGAATTTAGGGCTCCAGACACCTGTTTAGTATTAAATAACTTCCCTTTCTTCCCTTTAAACACACACTCCCTCTCCCTTTTCCTTCCCTTTTGAAGCCATCATGAGGGTGGAGGTGACCCATTTGGGACGGGGAAGGGGTAGAGAGAGGGTGCCAGGTTAGGCTGAGCTCACACCTGGCCCCACCTTCTCCCTAGCAGAGAGCAAAGGGGATGAAGGAGGGAGCCCCCAGCCCAGGGTACCCCAGGGCTCAGGCATTGTCCCAGGCTCCCAGGGTCTCCTCAGCAAGACAGTACATGCTCTCAGCCAGCTCTGGTGGTGGGTATAGGGTGGAAGCCATGTGCGAGCTCACGGGCACAGAGCTCTGCCTGGGGAGTAGAGCTGCTGCAGGTGACACTGCTGCAGCAGGTGACGCTCCTGCAGGTGACGCCGCCCTGTCCACTTGGGCAGGAGGGGTGGAGCAGCTTGGTCAGACAGCCCTGGTGACCCATGGAGGCTGCAGCGTGCATCAAGGTTCTGCTCCCCTGCATGAGCTGAGCCATCTGCTCACAGGGAGTCACGAGAGACCTGGGGGATGACACCAGGGGAAGAGAGCCTGCCTCGGAGCACAGTCTCTTACCTGATTGGGGTGTATCAGGGCAGCCCGCCACAGGTGGTGACCCACGTGCTGAGCAGGCCAGGGCCCACAGGGCTCGTCAGCTTTGGCTGTCATGGTAGAAACCCACCACTCCAGAGACTTGGGCTCTTTTCCTCCTTGTAACACCAGAGACAAGCTTCCAGATGCCTCAGTGTCCCCATCTGCCAGGGGAGGAAAGAGGGTGGCTGCTTTGAAAGTCTCCATTCTTCAGTGCGATCTTGGAGAGGGTGGTGGGCGGTGGATGTTGGAGCGACCCTGAGTGACCAGCACCTCATCTCCCTCCTCACAGGGACCCTGCTGCAGAGCGTGCCCCACTGGGGGCCCCTGGCTCAGCCATGCTGGCCTGTCTGCAGAGGACCCAGAACCCGCCTGGCCAGCACCTGGCCTGCCCGAGCAAGAGCCTGGAGCTGCGCAAGTGTGAGTAGGAGCCCTGCCCAGCCTCCTGTCCCCTACTCTTCCTTTGCCTGCTCTCGGGGCTGCTTTCTGTTCCTCAGGCCCAAGGGGGCAAGCCCTGGCCCAGCAGTGCCAGTCATGCCAGCGTGTCCTCCTTCCACTGTGGTCCTATCTTTGCATTTTTATTAACATGTTTGTAGTAGACAGTGGTTCATTCATTGTGGGGAATTGGGACATGTACACAATCCACCTCAACTCTTTTTTTCTCATTTCCTCTCCCTCTCCTCCTCCCCACCTCCCTTCATCTTGGTCCTTTCCACCTTCCTGTCTTAGCCTCGTGTTCATCCCACTGTGCTCCCTAGAACCTCTGCGAGGCCTCTGCCCGTGCTCTGCTGCCTTTGCCTTCCCCATCCAACAGTGGCACCAACTCCTGTGGACATCAGTCTCCAGTCAGGCCTGACCTCCTTCCCTGCAGCCTTCTCTGTCCCCAGTTGGTGCCATAGCTCACCCTCCTGTCCCATCTCACCATAAGCCACATCTATCTCGCTCACCCTCATTTTCCTGCATTGGCATAAAGTGGGATGGCGTGGAAGCAAACGCAGTCCCAAATGAGCCCCTGCCCAGGGTCTCATTCACTGTGTGACTTTGGGTGTGTCCTTCCCCCTACCCTTGCTTGTCTGTGTGTCATCTTATTTTTTATTTATTTTTGTGTGTGTGTGTTTTGTGTGTGTTGTTTTAGGGAGCCGAACTTGGTGACCTCCATGGGTCAGTCCTTCTTGACCACGTAGCAGCAGGATCCCAAACCTTCTGAGTGTTTTCAGCCACAGAAAGTCTAAAAACTTTAAAGAACCCAGTGTAGTTAAACACAGAAACACTTGAATAAAAACCAGGATTTCTAGTGTATCTTGAAAACAATCAGAGGATCTGAAAGCATAGGCCTGCGGTGCCCTACTGCAGCATCACCCCGAAGGGGCTATCCAGGCACTACCGTCCTGCCCCTCCGTGTTGCTGTCCTGTAGCCCAGATCAGTTACTCCTTGTCACGCTCAAACTGTTGCTTTTTTTCTTGCATTTTAAATATTTATCTTTAAACAAGGTGATTTTTTGTTGTCCATACAGTAAAGGAAGGGGTACAGAGGCAAAAGCCCACCCCTTCCCTGAGGTAGCCAGTGTGGTCTGCTTCCTGTGTGTTCTCCCACATTTTGTTTTGTGGTACCGGGGATCGAACTTGGGACCTTGCACTTGCCAGACAGGCACTTAAGCTGCTGAGCTGTATCCCTGGCCCCTCCCACATGGCGCCACATCGCAGCAAATGTACAGGTACCTGTATTTCACCCTGTCCTGCACCTCTCTTTCCCACTTTACAGTATATTCTGCGTGTTAGCGTCTTTAAAAGCTCCCTTTTCTTTATCCACGGTTTCCCCTAGCACGGGTGAACCCTAATTTACACGGCCAGCCCTCTCTTTAGACTCTACCCAGTGCTGTCACAAGCAACGCAGCGGTAAACCCGACATATATCACGGGGGGCGAATGAAATCCAGGGTAAATTTCTGGAAGCAAGAACACTGGGTCAAAGGCATGTGTGTGTAATTTTGATGGTTGTGGTCTGACGTCTTCAGGCTTCGCACTGGGGCACACGCCGCTGCAGCAGTGTGCAAGGGGACCTAGTTCCCCACGCCCTCTCCATCACAGCTGCACAGCAGACCTGGAGGCGTGGGTCACCCGAGCAAGGAAAAGAGGGTTGGCGTGTAGCTGTGCTTTACAACAGGTGATGCTGAGCATCTTTTCATGTCTGAGTGTGTGTTGTCCCTTTGAAGAATCTACTTCTTAGTCCATCTTTTCACTTGAGTGGTTGTTGTTCTTATCAATCAGGAGGAGCTTTTTCTGTTTCTTTTTTTGATACGGGTTCGCAGTACAGTTCAGGCTGGTCCTGAGCTCACTGTGTACTCCAGGCTGGCCTTGAACATGTGACGAGCCTCTTGTGTCAGCCTCCTGAGTGTGGGCACTCTGGGCATGCGCAGGAGCTACTTGTTTATTTGTTTATTTATTTATTTAGTGTGTGGCCAGCTCAGCCCACCAGGGGGCGAGGCTGGCTGGCATGTGGGGCTGGGGGATTGAACCGCGGTCCCTTAGCATAGCTTGTTCTAAGTAGGTGCTTTAGACCACTGAGCCATCTCACCAGCCCCAGGAGCTACTTGTATAGGATAGAAGTAGAGCTCTCTGCCTTGTGAATTGCAGATGTTTTCCCCAGCTTGTCCTTTGACCTCGGTTCTGCTGCTGTGGAGGAGCTTTCTTTGGGAAATGAATCGTCAGCATTTCCTTTATGGCCTGAGATTTTGTAAGCATAAAGCCATGAGTTTGATTCCTTGTACCAAAAAAAGAAGAGGCCGCTCTAGAATGACCTCTGACTGAGTTGTTTTTCTGTTTGTTTGTTTGTTTGTTTGTTTGTTTTTGAGACAGGGTCTTGTAATAAAGTGTTAGGTATGGATTCAAGTGTCTTGAATTGTCAATGCACTGCTGTTTTAATTATTTCAGTCTTACTAATACTTTCTAAATTTTATTGAGATATAATTTGCATATCACTTATCCACTTAAACAATTTAGTTTTAGTGTATTCACCGAATGATGCAAACATCACGTTTTTTATTTAACAGTACTGGGGATCAATTCAAGGCCTTTACACTATATCTTAAGTACTTTTTTATTTACTTACTTTTTATCTTGTGACAAGGTCTCACTAAGTTGCCTATGCTGGGTTTGAACTTGTAATCCTCCTACCTGAGCATTTCAGAGTGCTGGGATTATAGTCCCGCACTACCATGTACAGTTTACCTGAGTCAGCTTTTTAAAAAAAAATCAGGAATCGAACTCAGGACCTTGCACTTGCCAAGCAGACACTTTGCCACTGAGTTGTATCCCCGGCCCCTGAGTCAGTTTTAGAGACTTTTCATGACAAGAAACTGCACCTCTTCCAGCAGCTACCCCCTTATCTCCCCTGCCCCACACATACCCCTTCTCTGTACATAGATTTTCCAATTCTGGGCTTGCCTAAGGGTGGACTCATGTTGTATGTGATCTTTTGTGAATGGCTTCTTTCATTTAGCATAGTGTTTTCAAGGTTCATCCATGTAGTATCATGTATATGTTTTAATATTTGGTAAACCTCATTACTTCGTGTTACTGCCCCACCTCCCACCAAATTTCCCCAGCTGCTCCATGTATTTTACTGTCTGAACTAGGGTACTTAGGTAAAAACAAAAATCCTAAACTAAAAAAAAAAAAAAATCCGGTCTGCATTTTTACTAGGATTGCATTACACCTACAGGAAAAAATGTCGTTTTGCTAATGGCATCTTTCACCCTAAGAATGTGACATGCCTTACTGTTCGTTCAGATTTCCTTGTGTGTCCCTCAGGAATATTTTTTGTATTTGCTTCATTTAGATCTCATACATTTTTTTGGTCATGCTTACCTCTGGATAGTTTGGTTTGATTAGTCTTTTCTTCCACAAATGGAGGTTTGTATGAAGGCTATTAACTTCTGCCACCTTACTGAATTCTTTTATTGTTGATAATGTTTTTCAATTTAGTGTCTTGGGGTTTCTAGTTAAAACTACAAATGGTAATTTTACCTCCTACTTTGTTTTATGCCTTGATTTGTTTTATTTAATAGAGTTGGCTAGTGTCCTTGGAACAGTGAAAATAGTAATGGTGGTAACAGGCATCCTTCCTTTGTAGCTTCAAGATTTCCCCATTAAGCAAATGCTGGCTTTGGGACAGGTATTGTATTAAGTTAAGTCAGTCCCCATCTCTTCCTGTTTTATTGAGGGGTTGGAAAAATCAAGAATGGACTTTGGAATTTTGCCAAACGACTTTTCAGTGTTTATGAATATGAACATATGGCTTCTCTCTTTCAATCCATTAATATGAATGATGACAGTAATAGATTTCTTCATATTGAACTGTCCTTGCATTCTTGGTCGATCTCCACTTGTCAGTGGGAAACACTTCTTTATAATATACTTGCTGACCTGGACTTACTTGACTTGGGATTTTTTTTTTT